TCAAGTGGTCTTCGCTCCGGTCTTCTTCCCCGAGTGGTGACTCCTCCCTTCGCTTCCTACAAGCCCTACGTCCTCCAAGATCCGTGACCTTTATCAAATTGTTCACAGCGGAGATAATATGATCCTTCGTCCAGCAATCCTGGCGAGAAACGTACTTGCGAATGTGGCCGAATCCACGGTCACAAGAGTTCTTCGTGTGACCTTTCACAAAGAACTTGTAGTTCACTCGCTCGAGAACACCCATATGCTCGTGTTGACTTTGGGCGTCCAGGTGGCCATCGCATCGGAATTGTTTCTAGGGCTCGTTCAATGTTGATCTTGTCTAGGAGATGCAAAGACGCAATAACGTGGGAACATACCCATCCAGTGTGTTTATAGCTCTTGGATGTGCAGCTCAAAGCTTTGCGAACAGATACAATCTGCCGAGATCGTGTTAGATTTAGGGTGATCGTTATAAAAATGAATGAAGTTGTACTTACTTCCGGGGATCTCCACATCGACTGCAGCGGTAGATCTTCCATTTGAGCCAGGTGATGTTCATGTAGCGTAACTTGATGCAGGGACAAGAAAGTAAACTGGATATCGAGAATAGGGACTTCGCCGCCCAGCCAACCTCGTAAAGATCGCTGAAATCTATCGTAGAAAAAGCAACAAGGCATAATAAAAAGAAACAGACATAATGTAGTTTATAGAAATAAATACTGCTCGGTTCGCGCTGCTGTCACGGGAGACCCAGCCATATTCTTTGGTTGCACCATCGATTTGGTGCTGTTGAAAAATATCCGCGCGGGTCGTTGGGTGGACTTTGTAGTAACTATCTGGTGGTTCTGAGGGTCAATTAGAAAGTCTTTGGCCTTCATGACAGCTTTAAGCGGCAAAGGACCTGGACAACGTAATAAACTCAGTAAAATTAGCAAATCCAAAGCAAATACGGTAACGGCAACCTTCAGCGTAATGACCTTGGCTTCCCGACGACGAGTTGGTAGCGTCGTACAGTAAAACTCGGGGAAGTACAGAGTTGAGTACGGATATTGTTGGTGCCTTTTTGAAGTCGGTGACAATGACCTTGATCACTCGATGATGGCTCTCTATAGGTTGTTGGGTAGGCAGGAAGCCTGGTACAGAAGAGCTTCCTACGCTCCAACGCTCCCAACGTGGCTTCAAGTGCACCGATTCTAACCAATCCGCTAAAGGACCTTCGTTTTTCTCGCGCCAGGGTTGAAGAATACGTTTTGCCAAAGCCCGAAATTGTTTTAGTGATCTGGCAGCGTGAAGTAGACGAAGATGGGGTTGTACCCATTCTTTTATAAATGTGTTTTCGTTTGCCAGTTTGGATTGCTTTCTTGACTGTGGTAAACGATGTCCCCAGCAT